ACAAGTGTCAGTAACACGAGCAGCCTCAAAGTGGACGTAGGGATATTCCGTCTGAACCAGTATAAATATTTTTGTCCTCCGAGCACATCATCCGGGTCAGACGCGTAAACACAAATTTACTAGTCGGTGGTTCGAAACATCGACAAGTAGTAAATGGACTATTGATATTTCCCAATTAACAAATGAAGATACAATTTCCTTTTGTCCAACAGAGATCAAAGAATTTAGCGCTGTATATGGTACAAGTTCCTGCATTAGCACAGTACATGGATGGATTCCTAAGAGGCAGCAAAGAAACCTCGTGATTCAAGTCAAAGAAATTCTTTTTCAGTAAATGAGTAAAACCTAATATACATCAATATTGACCAAGGTCAAGTGACAAGAGAGAGTACAATAAGCTGATCTGCCCCAAAATGTAGCCGTGCTAATCACCAAATAAGATACAGTTAAGAATTAAAGCGGATGCTGAAATCCTCAAACAAAAAAATTACTGACTTTTGCCTCCACTATTAAGGGCTAAGTATCTCCCCTAAGAAGGGTTATACAACATCGTTCACCACCAAATGAGATACAGGTTTAGAAAAAACCCCATAAACAAAACCTTCTGATGATATATTATATCCACAAAACAAAACTTTACGATCGCCTCCAGTATCAAGAACCTAGGTCCCAACCAAACATGAAAACGACACGGATTACTTCAAAAACTTTCACCCATGTTTTTTTCCTCTGAATGAACATAGGAAGGTTAACCAGACTATGAATAAAGTTACCTGAATGATCTATATACAGTAGTCAGTTGATGTGAGGGTGAAGCGGCAGCCATCCTTCTGTTTCTGTTTTCCCCCTTGTAATAACACAAGTTAACAGCAGCGTTTGATCAATAGTATCCTACTCTGGACTGGTAGAGCTCCATCCTAATCTTGGCCTCGGGCAGCAAGCTCTCGATCACCGGATCCTGTGACATGTATCCTTGCTTCCACGCCCAGTCGAGCACCGTCAAAATCTCGGCCTGCGCGAGGTCCTCGCTGTCGGGGACGTTGTGCGCGAGGTAGCAGACGAGGACGAGCGCCGCCGTCTGGACCACCTGCTCGCCGAAGTAGACGAGCTGCACCAGGTGCTTGGCGCCGCCGTGGGCGATGATGGACTTGCAGTGGTCCACGTGCAGGTAGTTGTCCATGCACGCAAACTTGGCCAGCGCCGCCGCGGCCTCCATGCTCACGTCGGCCTCCCGCTCGTCGAGGAGCCTGACGAGCGGGCCGATGACCCGGGTCTCCGTCGCCCGGAACGTCCTCGACAGGCACCCCAGGCACGTGATGCAGGGGATGAGGAGGTCGTCGTAGTCGGCTTTCTCCACGACGCGGAGGAGCTGGTCCACCACGGCGCGGGCCGAGGGGGAGGTCGGCTTGAACGCCGACCGCCGGAGCTCGGCGTTCTGCTCGGCCACGCGGCAGATCTCCAGGAGCGCTATCGCCGAGTTGTAATGCACGTCGCCCGTGGCCTTCTCGAGGAGGATCGAGAAGCAGAGCAGCGCCCTCGACTCCGTGATGTTCTTGCAGATGGCCGGGTTGCCCGTGCCCAGCGTGCCCAGCGCCCGGGCGGCGTGCGCTTTCAGGTAGGCCTTGATCTCCGGGTCCTCGTACTCCCTCCCCCGCGTGCTCGTGGCGGACATGGACGCGTTGTGCAGCCTCATCCCGGCCATGCCGACGGGTCTGGCACTGGGACCGGGAACCGTCGCGCTCAAAGAACTACTGGCGCCTGTCGTCCCGCCACCGCCCACGGTTGGTTTCGCCGCGGCCACGGCGGCGGCGGCAGTGGCGGTGGCGGCTTGCTCCCCGCTGCCCGAGGGGTCCTGTGAGCTGTCGTTGCTCTTCTTGTCCATGAGCACGGAGTGGATGGACATCTTGGAGGCGACGGCGTACTTGGAGTGCTCCTGCACCGTCTCGAAGGCGAGGTGGGAGACGAGGAGGCGAATGACGTTGTGCTGGAGGAACGCGTCCTGGCATTTGGGGTGGTTGGCGGCGAGCTCGGAGACCGCCCACGCCACCATCCCCTGCACCTTCATGGGCGCGTCCTTGAGGATTTTGACGAAGGAGGTGCAGACCCCGGCGAGGATCATGAGGTCCACGCACTCGGGGTCGCGGCCGAGGAGCCCGATTGCGAGCGCGGCGCTCTCCTGCGCGTCGGCGCGTCCTTCCTTGATGAGCCGCAGCAGCGGCGGGACGCCGTCCTCCTCGATGATGAGCCTGCCGTAGCGGTCGTTGTCGCGCGCGAGGGAGACAACGCTGGCGGCGGCGTCGGCGCGGGCCTCGAGCCCGCCGTACTGCAGCACGGCGATCTGCTCCCAGATGAGGAAGAGGATGGGCTCGTTCTGCGCGATGGGGGGCAGGCTGATGTGGTCGTCCTCCTCGTCCTCGTCGGAGGCGGCGTAGTTGGAGACGCGGAGGATCCAGGTGGGGTCCCCGAGGGAGTTGTCGAGCAGGTAGGAGGCCTTCTTGAAGGACCCCGCGGGGATGATGGTGAAGACGCGGCGGACGAAGCCGTGGCCTCAGCAGCGCTCCAGCAGCGCGGCGGCCTTGTCGGTGTCCTCGAGGATGCGGCGCTCGGGGCGCTCGTAGAGGTCGGCGCGCGCCGCCTGCCGGAGCAGCGTGGAGAGGCGCTCCAGCTTGGCCTTGAGGTCCTGGCACTCCTGCCGGCACGTCTGCGCCTCGTCCGCCCACTTAATCACCTGCTCCGCAAGCTGGATCGGCCGCGCAAGGCTCGCCTTCAGGTCGTCCATCCGCGAGAGCCCCCGCCGTTCACGTTCAGTTCAGTGGAAGGGATCGATCGGTCGGACAATGCCGCGTGCGAGCGAGGAAGAACGAGGCTGGAGGAGCCCTCGGCGCGGCGTCGCGGCAGGCCCGCCGGCCGGCTGTCATCGTCCGGCGGCGGCAGGAAGGGGAACACGAGAACGGCGATGCCGGAGGTGACGAACTAAATTTGGAACGGAAGAGGAAGGGTGGAAGCGAGCCGGCTGGCCTGCTGCCCAATATGGCGAGGTCGTGCCATTGCGAGTTGCCAGCCAGTTTGTTCCGTTCGTATCCTCCGGCGGCGTTGGATTAGAGGCCGCTGGATCAAGCACAGACGGCCCGAATGCAATGCAGGAGCATCAGATCAGATGGATGGCCTCGTGAAACCCCATGTCACGCACGCTTTGGCAGTGCAACGGGAGTGTCACCTGTACTGTACCAACATGCCGCGTGCGAGAGGAAGAAAGAACGAGGTCAGTCCTCACGCTTTGTTGCATCAACGACCCTTTAACCAAGCCACTCCATTCCAAGGTATAAAATCCTCTCTTTGCAGGAAATAGCCCAACAACAGTCCAGGCGCACAGGTCAAGGCTAACACCACAGGAAAGATACATACTACACTTTCCGGCATTGTTGACAGAACCCAGATGTTATACTGATGCATCAACGGTGCCTGATCAAGCCTCTATGATGATTAAAAACGCTGGACTAGGTGTTTTCATCGTAAACACTCAGGTGCATCCGCCACAGCACATCTACATCAAGGCAGTCATGGCAGCATCCTATTCCGTGCTGATGGCAGAGGCAGCAGCTCTGGCTCTTGCTGCTGACATATCCAAGCGCCTCAATCTTCAACACATGAACTTCTTATCTGACAACCAGGAGCTGGTACACTTTCTTAATTCTACAGATCACTCCAACCCTCCAGATTGGAGAATCAAGCATCTCACACAACATTTCTTCAATGGCTCGCAACAAAGAAGCACAAAGATATTCAAGATCAGAAGAAGTCTAAATCAAACGGCTGATACTTTAGCTAGACAGGCTCTTGCGTTTGTTCAAACACATCTCATGTGCATCAGTGCCCACTGTTGGTTGCACTGCAGTCTATGCGCATCAACTCTGTTTCTTTACTTACAGCTAGATGCTGTTGAATAATAATATGTTTGTTGTCAAAAAAAAAAAAGTCCTCACGCTTTGTTTGACATCTTCTAGAGCCTGGGCCCTGTTCGCTTCTCTTATAATCCGTATTTTTCAGTTTATTTTTTTTTGGAACAGTGTTTTCTCTCACAACAAATCAGCCGGAACAGTGTTTCGCCTTGTTTTTCAGCAAAGCGAACGGGGCCGGGATCTTTGGTTGACCAAAAGTCATTTCACTAGGAAGGGGTTCCCTGGTCTCGGCAGGGGATTTTTGAGCAGATTGGCTGACTAAAATTTCGGATTGTTGTGTCAGTGAGACGCATGTCTTCTCATCAAGAACAGGGCGCTGGGAGTGGGATTAGAGATCATTTCATTCAGCGCATCCACGACGACATCACATGTTCTTCCTGGGAAGCGACCTCACCAGAGAGACGCGCTCTTGTGCCCCAAATCCTCTCACCACACAGCGACGTGCATGGCCATTAAACCTGCACACAATCCATATAAAAAAAATGTTTCCGGATGGCATAAAAAAACATCAAAGCGACATCAACCAGCCAAAGGAGGGGAGTCACGGGGAGGACCGTCTCCGTCATAGGGCATCCAACTCGAACCCTTCGACGAGGACCGACTCCCCCAGGCCGATCTCTGACAGACAACAGCGTCCTAATGGCTTCACGCTTGAAGGCAGACAGTGGTGCTGCAAAGGTCGTCTGGTACTTATCGAAGGCCCCATCATCATCACGTTGAGCTGCTGGGTTTGTTTAAGCCCCACTTGAATATCATCACGTTCTGTGCCTGAACCGTCGTGTTCGAGATGCACGACGCATGCTTGAGCTGGAGAAAAGCAGCAGGTAACTACATACACAAACAGCTCTCGTTGTTCACCTTGAATGATCACTTCGACGGAACTAGCTGTAGCTAGTAGACGCAAGTTGTACAGAAAACTAAGCACAAACTGCATCAGAATCGAATCAGAAAGGCTTTGTACAGATGTGGCGGCTGCGCAAGTGCTGGTTCCTGCTAGGGATCAAAGTTCTTGGGACATCTATTTGCTGCTCGGTTGCATCTCTAAAAGGTGATGACGTCAGCCCAACAGGCTGGCTGGATGTAATCTGCAGTTTCATAGAGGTCCGTCCTCCTCTGAGCAATTGTTGTTTCAATGAACTCTTTATGTTCAGCCATGCCATCAAGAAGCTCCAGCAGGTTCCTAGCAGCCGCCTGAGTTTCTTCTTCAACTTTATGTGTTGCATCTGGGAGCCGTCAGAAGTACCTTAAAAAAATCATCTGCCCGCTTTTCAAGAGAAATCAAACTATTCTTCTTTTTCTCCAACTCATCTTTCATTTGTCCAGCTTCAGATGTGAATCTTGAGTCATCATTTATAATTTCACGATCCAGTGAATTCAAACGAGCAACCATCTAGACAACAGATACAAGAGGTTCGACTTTATTATTTTGCAATAATTATTCTGTAAGAATCCAGACAAACTTGAGCTGTATGGTAAAAGCCAGGCCAAGCACTTGTGCATATCGATAATTGTTTAGACTCTAGAATCACCATGAAAAGAGAGTGGGACAAGAAATTCATTAACAACCCCAAAAAGATGCAAACCGGAATAATAAATCAATTGAATGCTCCTTCATAGGGGGGAAAGAATCTAATTTCAAATATTTGACAACTGTTCCAACACTTGACTGATCGGCATATTCATTGTTTTATTGTGGCTCTAAACTCAGATGAAGGTTGGAGGGCATCCACATACTCCTCCATTCCAAATTATAGTTCACTTCGGCGTTGTCTTATATCAAACTTCTCCAACTATGAACGAGTTTTTAGAAAAATATGTTAACATCTACAAATTCAAATAAAGACACAAAGACATTTCATGGAAAATGTAATGAAACAAATCTCATGTTGCAGATCTATAAACTTGGTCAAAGTTAAAAAAGTTTGATTTAGTAGCTCTCAAGTCTAATCACAACATATACCAGCATAATCCATGACATAAATCCAAAATCCAATTTATTAACAGCACAAATTAATTTTCATTAATCGAAGGCATTCTTCGTGCTAACTTCACCATAAGTTTCATGAGTAAATATAAAATGAGATAAAAGGAGGGTCGAACATCTGCCTAAAATAGATGATGGCATTATGCCCACTGTCTCGCTTCTCTAATCAAAAGGCATAGCATTAGAAAAGCAATAGATTAGATAACCCTCAAGTCAAATCACAACACATCAAAGTATAATCCATGACCTAAAATCCAAACTGCAATTTCCAATAACAGTGCTAATTAATCATAATTAGTCGAATTCAAATACTTGGGCCTTTTTGCCACAAATTTGATGTGCGAATATGCCCAGGGCACAACCCATTTAGAAAAAAGCACTACTCTTCCTGATTTTAATAAATATCAGCTCAAAAAGGCTTGATTACTGGTTAATCCAGCTAATAAATTACTAAAAGGACCAGCAGTAAAGCTTTATCAAGTTGAACCAACTGACTCTAGAAACTACATCAACATCTGACAAATTGTCTTATTGATATATCATCACAATATCACTAGAAAACATTGATCACCTAAAATGTGTAGCTCAAGTAACCGATTTTTTTTTTTTTAAAAAAAACTGGGAACTCTAGCAATTCCCTGGTGATGTTTTTAATAGTCTGGTCGTACCCATTAAACATATACAGTAAATTGTAGCACAGCTCTTTCCAAAAATGTGATGGGTTCTATTATTTGGCCAAAAGTGCAAAGTAATTTCAGAATAAGCATAACAAATAAAAGAGGAAGGACAAAATAATCAGATCATATTTACTCTGCAGGCTATAAAATGTAATTTAGGGCTTGGAAAGATGGACTGACCTCGTCATTGTTTGCGTAGAGACTGGAAATATTATTCCTTTCCTCCTCTAGAACCTTAACATTTCCATGCAGCTGCTTCTGTAGATCATTAGGTTTTCAAGATTTGAGAGACAACTCCTCTTGTTCTCCTAAAAAATGAGCCACAAGTGCAGGTTTAAGTACTGTTTTGTAACCAGTACCAAGCATCTCAGCAGGAGAAGATCCTTTTGAATTTATCATGTACTGAAAATCAACAGTAGGTTTCAACCTGAAAAGTGGCCCAGAAGTTTAAAAATGAGCACATAAGACAAACAGAACTAACAAAAGGAGCTAGTAGAGCAGATACAAACAACAGAACCACAGTTAAAAAAAAAACATTTCAACCTTTGTTTGCCTTTCTGTTTAGTAAACAGTAAACACAACAACAGCAAACAGAACATGATGTCAGCTGGCTACTCAAAGGCCCCAAAAGTTTAGTGAAATGTTTTTTCCCCAAAAATTTCTTGGAAACTAATCGTTGGACTTCACAATCGAATTTTCAGCTTAAAAAATTACAGTATTCACCGTTTGGCACATATTCCAGCAAGTTCAATTTATTTGTCTAGCAAAATTATCCTATTACTAATGTCCATGTCCAGTCCGCACTATTCAATTTGTTGAGGTCTTAAGGACCAGGCATTAAATATTTTTAAGAAAATATATAATAGAATAACATAGTTTGTACATAAATTACTTTTCACATTGTGCATTGACTTTCTTTACAATGGTTTTGATTTTAAGTTCTTTGTGGTTCTCTGATTTATATACCATTCATGGTGATCAGGAAAAACATCAAAATAGATCAACACCAAAGTCATAAGCAGGGTTTACAATACCGGTAAGAAAAAAAATTCGGTCCCAGTGATAAATACGAAATTTCAGAAATATTGGTTCAAATTTAAATAAATTTAAATTGAGTTTTAAATAAATTTGGCATCATTTCACTAGAAAAACTCTATAATCCATCATCCATCATAAATTTATATAACATCGACGAAATAACATAATATATCACAGAAGCAGAGCCACGGTAATACATTGTGCTGACGGTGGGCGAGCTGCATATACTAGTGCCGTCTAATGTGTGAGTGAGAAAATTAAATAAATTTGAAAAAATTTAGGGCTTTGATAAGACTAGATGATATGAAGGGTCATTTTAGTGTGGTTTGGTGTAATTTTAGAGTGAAAGATGAATTTAACCGAAAAATTTTGATCGATACAAAAAAAAATTCGGACCTCAGCGAAAAATGCGATATTTCGAAAATTTCGGCGAAGTAAACCCTGGTCATAAGGCCAAGCTGATTAATCTTTCATGCATTTGATATTTTGTTGATTGCAGATAGATAGTAGCACTGTAAATTGAAACCAATCGAAACTCAAGGATAACTGAAAAATCAGGCATTCAAATGTGTAATAAAACCACTCATGAAATTTCAGATTCATAAATACAAGTGAACGATAACAACCTAACCTACACTAATTTATATAAGTCATACAGAACTACAATGAGCACAAATAAAGGGGCATGCCAACAACAGGAGTAACGATGTAAACTATGATGAGCACAAATAGAACCGAAACAAAACATATCTGAAACAAAAAACAATTAAGAAAATTAATTAATTTTTAGAACCACAACTATATAAGGCCTAAAGATCCATACAGAGCAAAATGATTTGAGCATGGCACTTGACTACAAAAATATTCAAATGAATAATTATATGTAGTTTTCTTTATCAGAACAAAAAGGTTTATTTTTTACCAAAACAAAGGAATCAACAATCAATAGGTAAATAAGAATGGTATGGTTAGCATTGGTTCCTAGGTGTAGCTACAGACAATTTCTATTAGAATGGAGAGAAATAAAATTAAGAAAATATAGGAGATGCTGCAACACGTTCGTACTTTTTGAGGGCCTGGTTGCACTGCTCAGCAAGCTCCTCAAGCTTGGTAACCAGCTTAGCTTCAACTTCCCAGACCTTATCCTCCAGTGCGGCTTTCCCCTCCTCGGCGTTGGCAATATCATCTTCAATCGCCTGCATCTCCCTACGCATTCTATCCATACCCCTCACATTCACCGGCTGAGCATCCACTTGTTTCAATAGATCCTGAACTTCAGCAGCAGAGCGCTGGGTGTCCAATACTTTTGCCTCCAACTCTTTCTCCAAATTCCCCAACGTCTGTTCCTTTTCGTTGATCTTAGTGTTCCAAGCATCCACCACTGCCTCAAACTTGAGAATATCAGCACTGAAGGCTTCCTTCTCTGACTCCAGCGCTCCCCGCCGCGAGGGACCCGAGATGAGCTTATTCACCTCGGTCTCCAGTTCCTCGGCCTCCTTCTCCAGGGCACCAACTGCTGCAACGGACGCCTCACCAGCGTGGCCGGAGGAGGACGGACGAACGTGACGCCTGAGCAGCATCCGGAACGACGACGGCAGCGGGGGCGCCAGCGCCGCAGACGAGCGTGGCCGTGAGCGCTACCTACGCGACGGAGGAGAGGAGCCGCGTCCAGATTAGTGCCACTCCTGCTAGAGCCAGCGGAGGACCGGGCGGCGGAGCCCTAGCAGATGTGGCTGGCGGTATGCATCTATCCCGGCCTCTTGTCTCGATTTCTCTCAATTTTCCAAACGATGAGTACATGCAGGCCTATATACACAGGCGCTAGCTAGATTTCCTCGATGTTCTAGGACATGCACAACCTGCCGCAAGAACCGGACAACAGGTGACCACGCAACACCTAAACTAATGCATCTACATTCTGATTATCTGAGATAACAAACCATGCACGTCCATCGACCACAGCTTGAAGCTCCACGATGCATGCATCCATGCAAATCTCCACCACATCGCTTCTGGGCTTTCGGTTCCTGGACCTAGACCATAACTCATGGGCGCGAGGCGTGAGCGGACCGTCAATCGGGACTCGGGAGGTGAGGCGTCCACGAGATGACAGCAAGCGCGAGCGGCGGAGACACATCTGTGCGTGCGCGCAGCCGGCGGTGGTGCTGCGGCGGGGACACAGCTGTGCGTACGCGCGCCCGGCGGTGGTGCTGCGGCAGCTAGCGAGCACCAGGAGCAGGAGGTCATCGTCGAGGACGTGGGGCTGCATATATTTCATCCTTGGGCTAAACTCACCCAGCGAAGCTGACAGGTGGGTCCTAGATGCCACATGGTTGAAGCTAGCGAGCATGGATTGACACATAAGCAAAACCACCTTTCAATAGCACCTGGGTTTTTTTTGCCCGGTTTTCTAAAGTTTAGGGTGCACGATACATGATATGGTTTTATAGTTAGGGGTTACGTAGAACACTCTGGGTCGTATAGACTTTTTGCCAGAGGAAACAGAGAAGTCGCGTCCGCCCGTTACGCCTCGCGGCTCCGGCAGCGGCGCATCCTCCCAACTCCGGCGAGCCCTCTCCCCACTGCAGCGAGCCCCCTCCCCACTCCGGCAAGCGATATCTTCGGAGGCCGGCCTCCCCACCTCCGGCGAGCCCCCCCTCCCGGAGCGAGCAGCAGCAGAGGGCGCGGGCTCCATCCCAGCAGAGGAAACAGGCCCCGGCGGATGCGCTCCACTCTGCGACCTCCTGCTCGAGCTCCGGCAGTGGATGTGGTCAGATTCGAGCTCCGCCCTCCCTTTCGACCACGGATGCGAGCTCCGCCGTCCCCGTCGGCTTTCTCCTCTCCATCCGCGCGTGGGCTCCTGCCTCGGCGGACGGTGGCATCACCTGCTCTGAGCCCGATGGCGGCACCTGCTCCAAGCCCGGTGGCGGCATGGCCCCCTGTCCCAGCGGCCAGAGGCGGGCGCGGCGCCTGCTCCGGCACCGGCGGCAGCGCGGGCCTTGCCCCTCCCTACGGCGGCGGCGCGGCCCCTCCCCCTCCCTACGGTGGCGGCGCGGTCCCTCCCGATGGCGACCCGGCCCCTGCAGCCCCTCCCGATGGTGCCGTGGACGTGTGGTTGGAGAAGACGAGGGAGTGAGAGAGTGACAAGTGGGGTCGGCTAACATGTGGGACCCATGGACAGTTGCTTTTCCAAAAGCTATGGCCGTGTAACCAAAGGGCTTTGAACTTTTTCAAAAGCATATAAGTCACGGCAGGTTTTCAAAAACCCAAAGTTCACAGTAGCTTTTTCAAAAACCATAGCCCAACCAAATACACCATAAACCTTATTCGTGTTTCAACTTTTATGGAGGTACGTCAATCTATGGATGAACCGCACATGCCAGAAATATGAGATTAATCCCATTTTGCATCAGATGGAAGATCTCAGCCAGAGCTTCGAAGCTCTTGATTTGGTTTTCATTAGTCAGAAATGTAATAGATTAGCTCATGAGTGTGCTCGTCTAGTTTCCTGTGACAACCTGGTGGAGGAGTGGCTTATAACCCCACCTGGTCTTAGGAATATCTTAGACGATGATTGTAATCTTGTTTATGGCTAATATATGAAGCTCCGGTTTCCAAAAAAAAAAAAAACTTTGTCTACACACATCTATCTATGGTACCTAACCAATTTCAGTATCCGGCAGAAACAAAATTTCCGCAGACCCAGCATACCACTGTTCTTTTGACTCACGGATTCCTGCCCGTTTCAATGGCGATCTTACGCATCAGTACACAACTCATGTCAACTCAACTCATTTGAACACGCATCACCTTCAGGAACAAAAATGCCCTGTCTCAAAAAAAACGACCCTTTTAAACATGAAGAGATCCGACAAATATTAAAACAATAGCTATTGGCTATGATTGTTGTTTTACATCTACAAGCAACGAATCACGAATGAATCATCAGCGTCTAATGGAATGCATAGGCATGGCCATAAAAATTAGCAGCAGGGACTAAGCCTGTTTGCAAGGAAGTGCAACTAACGACTCGCCTTCGTCAAACTCCACACGACAAATAACACATCTGCAAATGAGTTTGATTGATTAGGATATCACTCTGCACACAGATAACATCTTTAGGGACAAAGCATAACAAAATGGTGTTCATACTGTTCCATGTTGCCATCTTGCTTGTCTTGTGCCTGGTAAGTTACCGAAGGTAACGAACCAATAGTCAGCCTGTTCGGTTGGCTGGTTCGTTTCGTTGCTGGTTCGTGAAGAAGTACTGCTGGCTGGTTTGTGTGAGAGAAAAATACTGTTCCGACTGAAAATTTACGATCATTTACGACAAGCCACAGCCAAACGAACGGGCTGAGTATCAGCAGCAAGGCCTTTGCTTTCCGTACAGACAACTTCACCCAATGCAATTAGCTCCTGAGATCACCACATTCATGAAGGTTATATAACACACCATCCAGGTTCTAGCTTTACACGGAAAGTAGAAAGAAAATGCACAAAACATCATGTTCTCTTCAACAAAAATAACTTGCCTCATAAGAGTATTCATCAGGGTCAACATCTTCCCATGCATCCTAAAGTTCAAAATAACATAATAATTAAATGTCAGATACCATATTTATTCCAAAGAGATTTTTCAATAAATATACCAAGAAAAAATAAGGACCGTTTCCAAATAGAATAATTTGTTCTCAATATGCATTTCAGATGGAAGCAGCTATATGATTGCTTCTCAATAGCCAATCATCAAGAGAAACATGAGAATCCTCACTTCCAATTCAACTGTTTTTTAGTAAATTAATTAAAATTCCATTTCTTATCATCAAGAATACACACTACCACTGTATTAATTCAGAGCGCCGAGAAATGACGTATATTTCACTACCTTAAACAGTTCCTGTGTTTGTATTATTACTATAATTTTAATATTTCTTTATGAAACTATCCAAAGGTACATAATAAGCTTTGTCATGTTCATGGTATTCTAGAGATAGAAATAGAGACTCATAAAATATAGTATGGTTAAGCAGGAGATTCGTTAAGAGCAAAAGATTACTAAGTCATTCCTTATTTACTAAGTCTTTTGTACACCCAAGTATATACACTCTCATCTATAGTATAACTAACTTTGGATCTATACATAAAGAACATTACTAAGGAAGATTAAGAGCAGAGCTTGTCTCCCTTCGAAACCACGTTCTACTTGCTCTATAAATAGGGAGTGGACTACAAAGAACTCAACAGGAGTGTCACATCCGCGATCTACCACATGACCCAGAGTGTAGAATGCATCCGCAGGCAAACAATACCTAAGCACCATGCTTACATTGTGTTGACTACTTAACTCACTCGAGTACTGAGCTAAGAGCTTTGCGAACATATGCATAAATTCATCATCAATCATAACTATATCAAGCATATAACTAGAGCAAATTAGGAACATAATAAATAGCAACATAATATTGAAGTAGCACAAAGTCATAAATTTAGAAATATAATGGTTATACCAGTCTCTAGACAGCAAATCTGGAATCCTGAGCAATAGCCCACACTCTACTTGAACCTTGCTAGCCAGCCTATTATGGAAACTTGAAGAATTAGAGCTCTATTCTCTTCTCTCTGGAAACCCTAAATTCCGGTCTGATCTTGACTTATGGCAGCGTGCTCCAGAGGGGGGTAGGGGCTGGTTATATAGGCCAGAGCGTCCAACGTGAGCCCTTTGATCAAACCGACTTAAAGGACGGCGTAGATGCAACATAGGAGGCGATGGAGAACCGACATTCGAACAAGGAACTGACATGTGGGCCCAAGGGGCCGGGCAACTTACAGGTGGGGTCGGTCGGCCCCACATGTCAGCGCCTCATCCTCCGCTTCGGTGTGGTGTCTTCCTGAGTGTTCTAGAACCTTCTGGGGTAGTTTTCGCTGTGGATAAGCGTGTTTTTATTTGATGATTTGATCCCTTTTGATAGTTTTCTGGATAAACCCTGCTAAAAACACAGATTCACCAAAATTTGTGGAAATTGTCAATTTAAACCCCTAAATCTATGTTGGTGATCCTGTTTATGCATTTATTCAAGTTAAATTGACGGTTTTATGATGGATGATAACTACCATCAACAAACTCCTCCAAGCAAAACCTTTGCTTGTCCCTGAGTAAAGCTAATCTTATCAATGGATCAGGAGTTTTAGGATGTTTGAAAACATTAAGGCAACTCCTCAAAAGTACACATGCATTCAATCAAGAATTCTCCTCTGGACTAAAATTCATCGATCTAACTTTCAAACTTACCCATATTACCTTTAACCATGGGGCTTTTGAGCCTTCACTTGGATCTTGAGCAATTGAAAGACAGAACGATCAAGTCAAGCACCATGTCTCAAGTTCTTTGTTCAACCATTATTCAGGAGTTTTTGTAAGTTTTAGAATAAAACTCAGAGATTCCATTGTATGACATTCTCAAGTCTCTTAAATATGTGGTATTTGTGGATCCTCACTGAGGCAATAAATGATGATATGCCTTTCTTTTCCTACAACTAAGGCTTATGTGGAGCTTATAGAAATAGAAATTGCATGAAAGAG